GCAAACTTTACAATGTGACAGCCTGGATGGGTAGCTGCACAATCATATGTGAGCAGAGTAAACAGGAGGGGGCTCAACACACATCCCTGAGGAGAGCCAGTGCTGAGAAATGGTTGTAAGGTGCCGCCTTACAATGAGCTCGAAACATCTGAACTGTTTCTGCAGCAGCTTCACTCACGTTGACTCTGCGGTTGATGCTCAGGAACTGGCAGGTCTTGTCGTAGAGCTTCTCCAGGTTTTCTCTGTCCCAGTAGAAATCCGGTGTGAGAAGCAGGTCCGACCTCAGGTTGATGCAGTGTCTGTCAGAGAAGACAAACATCTAAACGTTTCTCATCTGCAGTGACGCCCAAGCTCCACCTTCAGTCATGACTCGTTCAAAACGGAATCAGGTGAGAACTCTTCGGCTTGTTGTTAAATCTTATAAAGTCTGAACGGCATCTTACCTCAGGGTGAAAAGTTCTCCGATCTTCTGCATCACTTCTGCAGAAGACAACTTCACTCGTTTGCCAGACTTCAGCAACTGAGAGGAAAACAAGTTGAGGACATGAATCTTTATAATATTCACTTAGACGTCAAATCTGCTGCTCAGCTAAACACGACGTGTAATTTAGAACAAACTGCTGAGTCAGCGTTCGCTTTCAGACTTTTCAGATGTTAAAATTAGTCTCCAGTTTTTCTTCTGACCTGAAAGAACTGTTCAAATCCATAAAAAACTTCCTGCTCTTTAATAACTGCACAACAAACTCCCTTCATTCCTAACTTTTAGCTTCTATTTTGTTAGTTTGGACTTTTATCTATTATGTTACTTTTAGCTGCTGTTTTGCTCATTGTAACTTATAGCTACTGTTCTGCCAATTTTAAATTTCAGCTTCCATTTTGTTAATTTTAGCTCTTAGGTTCTGCTAATTTTAACTTTAGCTACTATTTTGTTAGTTTTACCTTTTAGCTACTCCTACTAATTTAAACTTTTAGCTACTTTCTTCCGATTTAAACTTTTGCCTTCAATTTAGCTCTTAGCTACCGTTCTGCCAATTTAACTTTTAGCTATTGTTTTGTTCATTTTAAATGATAAGCTACTGTTTGGCCATTTTTAACTTTTAGCTACTGTAGTGAACTTTTTGATAATATGAACTCTTATCTAATGTTTTGCTAATTGCTGCTGTTCTGCTAATTTTAACTTTTAGCTACTGTTCTGCTACTTTTAACTTTTAGCTGCTATTCTGCTAATTTGAACTTTTAGCTACTGTTCTGCTACTTTTAACTTTTAGCTGCTGTTCTGCTAATTTTAACTTTTTTCTTTTGCTCATTTAAGCGTTTGATGGCTTTAATCCAGTTTCGGCTTCTTTAATAAAGCCTTTTGGCGTTCATTCTGTCGGTTGTACCTCTGGAATCGACTGAATTGACTCCACGAAATGATCCAGTGCCACCTCCCAGATCGCCAGCTTCACTGCAAAACAGAAGTTTAGCTCAAACTGAGTCCAGAGAAGTTTAGCTAAGAACACAGAAACCCTTCGGCTGCGTGCGCTCACCAGACAAACAGAGCGCGTTTGAAAATGCAAACTTCTCCAGGATAGCTTCTTGTCGTTCCGTCTCTCGGCTCAGAATAAAACTGCCTCGCTGAAGCTTCGTGTTCCCTCTGAAGAGGAAAACATTTGAACGATTTCTAACAAACTACTTGTATTATATGTTGTGTGTGTGTGTATACATATATATATATATATACATACATATATATACACATACATACATATATATATATATATAAAGATATAGATATATATCTAAATATATATACAGTGAGGGAAATAAGTATTTGAACACCCTGCCTCTTAGAAATCAAGGAGGGTCTGAAATGTTCATGTTAGCTGCATATTCACTGTGAGACATAATCTAAAAAAAATAATAATCTGGAAATCACAAAGTATGAATTTTTAATAATTTATTTGTGTGTTACTGCTGAAGATAAGTATTTGATCACCTGTGAACATCAATGTTAATATTTGGTACAGTGTCTTTGTTAGCAGTTACAGAGGTCAAAGGTTTCCTGTAGTTTTTCACCAGGTTCACTGCAGCAGAGATTCTGGACCATTCCTCCACAGATCTTCTCTAGATCACCAGGTTTCTGGGCTGAGGTGAGGAATCAGCCCAGAACTACACGGAGGAGCTGGTCCATGACCAGAAGAGAGCTGGCGCCACTGTTTCCATGGTTACTGTGGGTAATGTGTGGGCGGCCGTGGTGCAGTGGTAGTGGCAGCCGACCTCTGATCGGAAGGTTGGAGGTTCGAATCCCGACTTCCCACACCATGTGCCGTTGTGTCCCTGGGCAAGACACTTAACCCCGAGTTGCTCCCGGTGGGACTGGATGGCGCCTTGCATGGCAGCCTACCGCCACCGGTGTATGAATGTGCGTGTGAATGGGTGGATGGCTGGTACTGTA